TGGTCATTTGCTTGTCACAGCCGGCTTCCGGCCAGCAGTTGGGGGAACCTGGCGGGAAGTCGCTAGTCCCAGTCTTGTGGCACCACACATAATGACTTGTGCTGCTTAGCAAGAGAATTGCCAACCCCTATGGAAGTCAGTACGTGAGGACTATCTGTAATGAGACTGCCTTTGTCCACGATCTGACCCGAGAGGAGTGTCCGTTACTGCAGCCTGGCTGAACAGAGAAAAGGGGATCCCGCCCACTGAGACGTTTCCTGGGCTGTATCGGTCCAGGGCCAGGGCAGGGAGGCAGCACTTATTTCTTTTAGCAAGAGCATAATAGCATTTATGCTTGTATCCTGCCCCATAGAGCTTTATGACACTCCTTTTGGGCGGTTTACAATATAGAAGCATTATTGTTGCCCCCAATAATCTGGGTCCTCATTTTCCTGACCATGAAAGGATGGAGGGCTAAGTCAAACTTGAGCCCTGTCGGGATTGAGCTCCTGGCTGTGGGCAGTTTGGCCTGCAATGTTGCATTCTAACTTCTGCGCCACCAGGGCTTGCTTGTTGCTTGCTTGCTTGTTTGTATGCTTATTTGTTGGTTTCACATGCCCCCATCTTAGTATTGAAGCAACTGGGTGGCTGCTTGTGGGGGAAATGGCAGGTGCTCTTGCCCAGTGGCCTGTCTGTGGGAGTTGGGCCTGGAGAGGAGGGGAGCCACAGCCGAAGAAGAGAGAGTGGCTCTGGGTGTAGGTGGGCCAGCGTGTCTGCCAGTGGCCTTGTGCTTCAAGGTAGCCCACCCGGCAGTGAGTGGGCCCTCAGAGGAGCAGGGAAGCTGTGGGGAGGACAGTGGAGGGGTGGGTGTTGCGCTGGTCGCCTCTGTTTTGAAGACTGCAGGCCCAGAAAAAGCAGGGCCTGGCTGCGGCTCAGGGCTGGTTCTCAGTGGTTTGCCTTTCCCACTGGATTCTGCCCACTGAAGGAGGAAGTCGGTCCGTGGGGTGTGTGTGTGACGCCTCCTATGGAGCAGCCATAAGCTCTTGTTTTGGTTGAGCATCAGGCTCTGTTGAGGGCCTCTCTCATTTGGACGGAGGTGGCAGCGAAATCAGGAAACTCACATGAGGCCGTGGTGCCCATCTGCCGCGCAAGCCCACCCTGCTCCTGCCGCCTTCCTGCGGCGTCCTGAATTCAGAAGAGAGCAGGGGCAGACAGCCCTCACCTAACCCTGACCAGCCAGCATTCCTCGCCATTGTCCACGTTCGATGAAGCGTGAGTTAAGATTCACCCAGGTGGCCCATTTCTGTGGCAGAGCAAGAGAAAGTAGAAGCGATTCCGGGCAGCGCTGTCATCGCGTGATGCCCTCAAATTCTAGGGTCTGCTCTACTAAGAAAGGTTAATTCTGACTAATTGAGAGCTTTCAGAATTTACCTTGATCTGTTTATTCTGCTGCTGCTCTTTTTACTCTTGTGCATGATTTATGCCAGTTACACTAAACTTGGGGAGTGGCAAATAACTATGCAGAATACTGGAGCTCCACATCCAGGCCTGGGAAGATGTAATTAACTCTCTCTCTCTCTTTCTCTCCCACACACGAATGCACACCTGTCTCATTTACCTGCTTATGCATTACAGTGTTCTCCCCTGACTTTCCATCTCCCCTGCTTCCATGTTCATACATTCAGGGTGCACCAAAAGTCAGGCCCCCCCTAGAGAACATATGATACGAATTACATTAAATGCTCCAATTGGTTGCCATTTTCTTCCAAACACTTCCTTACTCCTAAGTACAGTAATATTTTCTCTCAAAATACTAAAATTAATAAAACATTGGGGCCTGATTGGTGGTACCCCCTGCAGTCAATCAACCATCAATCAATCAAATCCCTCCTTAGGCATGAAGCCAGCAAGATGACCTTGGGCCAGTCACTTCTCTCAGCCCTGAAAAAAAGGAGGAGGCAGGAGGAGCCCCTTCTGAAAAATGCCGGCAAGAAAATTGCAGGGACTGGTCCAGGCACTTGTCAGGAATCAAGACTGACACGAAGGTGCGTGGGCACACGTGTGCACATACACACAGACACACAGACCCCTGTTTAAAATAGGGCCTTGTAAATAACCCCCTCCTGACTCTTTTCTTAAAGTTCTAGGGCAGTGATGGCGAACCTTTTAGAGACCGTGCCCAAATTGCAACCCAAAATCCACTTATGTATCGTCGGGTGCCGGGTGGGCGCGTCCCATTGGGTGGGCGCGTCCCATTGGGTGGGTGCACACGGCAGTGGAGGCCTAAAGCGAAAAGGTTTTATAAAACCCAGCTGAAGGCCTAGGAGTGGGGCGACGGCACACGTGCCCACAAAGAAGGCTCTGCGTGCCATAGGTTTGCCACCACAGGTCTAGGGAGTTGAGGCTCAGAAGCTCCCCAGCCCTTCCAAAAGGCAAGGAAAGACCCTCCCAGTCAGCAGCCATGGATGCTTCGGGCCTGGGAGGGGCCAGGAGCAGTTGGTCCCCCATGCAGATTTGGCACCACAGAGGTTGGGCCATCTAAATGTGTATTCGTTCTCAGCCACATGGTCTCGTGTTGTACCAGCTGAAGCTCTTGGATACCACGGGGGGGGGTACTACTTAGGATTTGGGCAGTTTTCATGATGAGGCAATCAAATGAGAGTCGTGAGGGCAAAGAAGGCAGGTTGGTGGGATATCAGGTGTTTGACCCATCAGGCTGTTCCCTTCATTAAGAGACCCCCTCACTAGTAATTCAAGATCACGGTCTTAGTCTACATTTATTCATCTATAACTTTAGAAAGAAAACAAATTTTCTCAGGGGAAAATTAGAATGAAATGGAATTTTCAAATGAAATATTAGTGTTCTGGTGCAAAATAAATGCTGCATTCATCAATTCTGTTCTTGTAAATATTCTAGGTTTAGAAACAAAAACAGACAAAGACAGGAAGAAATGCATTTGAAATGAAAAAAATGGGGAAGAGGCACGGCACTTTGGCAGGAAAACGGGCTGCTCTTGGCAGACTCTGCATGATGGAGTTTAGCTGGGAGACACAGAAGAGAAGCCCTGTGGGGGGAGCACCAACCACCCTCCCTCCCTCTGGCTAGGTGGGCAGCTCAGCTTGCAAACAGTTGGCTGGGAGGGAGGAGACCTTGCAGGGGTGGCTTCTGGCCTCCAGCTTTGGGCTAAACAGGCCACTGGCACCGGTCAAAGAGCCCTGCCAGGTAGCTCAGCATACTGTGGTGTCCACGTGGACATGCAGGGTGTGGGACCAGAATGAGGCTCAGAAGGTCAGTTCCTACAGTTTTGTGGAAGGGCAAACTGTTCAGCATTCGTGCAGCAAGAAGGAGGCAGCTGGTTTGGAATAACTCCCGAGGGAAGAGAAACAGCTGACTCCCTTCTTTGTCTTGGGAAGCAGCCCTGAACTGACTGTTGTGCTTTCTAGCCAAGGGGAAGAGGGAGAGACTTGTTCAGAGTGGGCACCAGGATGCCCATGCGCCACCACTAGAGGCCTACCGGAGAAAGAGGTTTCACAGAGCATCCCTTTGGTGTCGGTCCTGGACAGCAGTGACCGTGCAGCCTTTGCCTGGTCAGTGGCCGATTACGCTCCCTTCCCCTCTTCCTTGCCCACTCCAGTTGCATTGGCGAATGCTGCTCAGGCCTGCAATCCTTTGGTTGTTTTGTGGGGATGAAAGGCCCCCCCCAGCTTCCTCTGATTTCTGTGCTGCCTTTTGTCCGGTTGCCAGCTCTCCCCCTCTTCTCTTTTCAGGATGGCTCCATCACCCTGTTAAACAGAGTGCATTGTGAGGGGGAGCTGTGCTTCTCTTTTTTGCCACCTTTGGGCCGAGAGCCGTCTCCGCTCTCTTTTCAAAATGGTTTCCCCTTTCATCCTATTTGATGAACATCT